AACCCGCAGGCCCTGAACCCTCATATCAATGCACTATTGTTGGTCAAAACAGCATCATTAAGCAAAAATTTAAATAAACAGTTGAATATACTAGCTGTGTAATAAGGTGATTGCATTTCTCTGATCTTAAATCCATGTTTTTTCTGACCATGTTAACATCATGGTTGATTGCTCCTTCCATGCCTGTTTGTTTGTTTACCGTTTTTTCTTTAATAAGGCGGATTTGCAACAAGTCCTCCGACCTGAACGACAACATAGGTCATATTAACCAACCTCCATATATGACTCGCTCATATATGAGCGTATCCTAAAATAGCAACCATACCGTTGGTGTTTTCCATGCCTCCCAACACAACACTTTCAAATGCTGTTTCGTGATCGGACCTATGTTTCGGAAATCAAACACGTGGAGACTGTAGCAACACAAAGGTGGTGAACCGTAACTACAAGCACAGATTGTTGCACACCTGTTGGCTTCACCGGTCAACATGCATAAAATCACTGACTTAGGTTTAGACACACAACCCTGTGAAAGATAGGGTAAGGGTCTACGTGGGTCTGTCAGCGCCATTAAGACTAATATAGCTAGCTAGCTAACGCTTACGTTACAAAGCTAACGTAGCTAAAGCTACAACACAACTTGATTAAAAAACAAATCTATCTTGTTTCGCCAGTTTCCTGGGTGAAAAGCAGCTAATTCACTATCCTTACACCCAACCCACCACCACCAAAAAAACTTTCTGGCTATTTTTACCGTCTTTGCCATGAGTTGTATTGCCTTTAGAGGTCGCTGCCACAATAAACATGTGTTGTAAATTTGTGTGGCTAAAACGACCTATATGGTTGTTTTTCTGTGGAGGACAGGCTCTGGATTTGCTGTGATTTTCTCTCGCTTCTGGGCTTCCCCTAGTAACCCCTGTGTTTCACATCACAACGCTATGAACTACCTTAGGCAAAAGTCTGCAGAAATGCAGACTTACAAAAAGGGTGCAAATAGGGCTCAAAATATCTGCGAAAGAGCCCACTTGACTTTTGACAGTGAGACAGCCCTAAGCACTCACCGAGGGAATCACCGAGAATGTGCCACAAAGTCTGTGCGTCTGAGAGTGTGGACATTGAGATTGGGCCAGAGAGTCTCATCAGGCCCTTTTTTGCAGGAAGGGTATATAGGAAGGTGGTGTGCTGGGAGTGGCCCTGATTGCATGCTGCTTTGTGCTTGGTTTGTGTTCGAAACTAAACTTCCCCTTCTCGTAGAGACAGTTCCAGACGCTGGAGGAGTTCATGCCCGGATGACCATCACCTGTGTATTTACAACACTGCAAAGGATTGTTAGATGGCCCTGTCCCTGCCTGTGTTTTCCTTTCCCTACTCTTTGTCTGTTCTAGTCATTAAGTTTCCCAACCTGCACACAAATGCCAGCAAATGAGACAATGCACTTACAGCAGCACGTCAGCCCACGTTGCAAGAGATAAACTCAGGCACTTTCGTCAAGCCAAGCTACAATCAGGATGGTCAGTGTCTGGTGTTTGTAGGTTGTAAATGTTACTGTACAACACTTCAAATCTAGACTTATTTGTTAATATACAGTTTAGTTTAAATACTTTCTGTTGTGTCCCTATTCTGAAGTTTCAGAAAAGCTTATCAGGCTGTCCGAGATCACATATAACGCTACTATGTACAGTTCTACTCTGCAATCATCCAGTCTGCTCTCTGCATATCCATCACTGTCCGATTTGGATTAGCTACCAAACAAGACAGGAACAGACTACAACGTATACTGAGGACTGCAGAAAACATTATTGGTGACAACCTGCCCTCCTTTCAGGACTTATGCATCTCCAGAGTCAGGAAACGAGCAGGAAACATCACTGCAGACTCATCACACGCTGGACATAACCTTTTTTCTTTTAACTTCTCCCCCTCTCGTAGGTGCAAGAACCCTGTAACAACAAACATCCACTTATTGTTTAGGTTGAATTTGTTTTTGACATATAAGATGTTAAGCGGTCTAATAATTAATCCTGATAAACATCTAAAATTAACAATATTTACCAAATTAATCTGGATTATCAATTTTGCCATTAAAAGTTGAACTTTGATTATGGTTATGAGATGTTTAGAACTCCAAATATGTGGTATAATTTTGCATGTAGATCTGCTTACCCTATTTTAGATCTTCTTTGTTTAGCCAAAAAGATATTGGCTATGGAGAATATTTGTAATCTCATCAAATGCTTCAAAGTTTCAGAATGTCCTAGATAGATTATGTACGTTTTTTCGATGATTAGAATGGAAAAATGCTTTTCAACCTTGTGTTTTGGCTGAAGCAATTTCTTCTTTTGTGAATAACCTCTAAATGTGAGGAGGAACAGAGGGAGGCCCAACATCTTCCCTGCTCCTTCTTCCTTAACTCCATTCAGACGAAAACCAAGCTTACAACTCGTCTGTGATTTGTCTTCAGTTTTTTAATTATGAATTTAACAGTGACATTCGTCTAGATTCATTATCTGAAGACCTTGGTGTAAAATAACTTATTTCAAAGACCTGTATACAAAAATGGATTAAACACTCATTTCCAAACCAAGGGATTTGGTTTGGAAATGAAACCCTGTCCTCTGAGGTCAGAGCAGGTTAATGGCATTATATCAAACTCTGTTTGCGTCATGATTTATTAGCAAGCATCTCAGGACTGGAAGTCCTATGAACTGAACTGAGTATTTTTTCGCAAAACACTCCTAAATGTTTCTCTTTTGACCTTCCACACAATAATGTGGAATTAATGTGATTAATGACAGGAGAAAGTAGGAGTGATAACATGCATACTTTCGAGATGGCGCAGCAGATGGCTGCCTCAGTGTGTTGGTGCGTTTTGTCTTTTTTTGTTTGCAAATTCAGTTTTCTGCTGTAGTAATCAGAGCTCTTTCATCAGAGATGAGCTTCAGCGAATTTATTGCCCATTTTTGGATGTGGTGGATGGAGTCTGTGTTGGAGAAACCTTTGGCTGAGCCAGATGTCCTCAGGTCCTCTCACACACTGTCCCTTTCAATGAAATACTATAATCCACAAGGGTTAAACCCAGTATGAGTTATTTGTTAATCCAAGTGCATATTACAAGTGAATCCGAGCTGATCCCAGGGAGCAACTGATCAAATTCCGTATTACATTCATTCACATACCTTCTTATGCTCCTCCTTGTGTGTACCTTTGTAAACGTTTCCAGTTTGACTTTTGACACCATTATTTTCTCAACTTGTCCTACTCCAGCAAAATTGGCCCTACCTAGAAACAATGGTGTATTTTCCCAGCAGCACATTATAAAAAAATAAAAGCTTTATTGCCATACTGTTTACATCAATCAATATGAAATATTATTTGCAATCTTATCTTGTGTTGTCCCACCTCAAATCGAATACTGATCCTCTCCTGGACCCCACGCAGTAAACATGGTCCGCAATGCCATCCTCCGGCACTTGGACTCCTCAGAAACCTACACCAGGATCCTGCTTGTGGATTTCGGTTCTGCCTTCAACACAGTCATCCTGGCCCTGCTGCAGGACAAGCTCTCCCAGCTGAGTGTGCTTGCGTCCACCTGCAGGTGGATCACAGACTTCATGTCTGACAGGACGCAGGACGTGAAGCTGAAAAGACAAGTCTCCAACTCCTGGGCAAACAGCACCCATTCCCCTCAAGGCTGCGTTCTTTCCCCTCAGCTCATCTCCCTGTACACCAACAGCTGCACCTCCAGTCACCAGTCTGTCAATCTCCTGATGTTTGCGGATGACACCACCATTACTGGGCTTATTTCCGGTGGGGATTAGTACACCTACAGGTGGTAGACTGACCATTCTGGCGACCTGTCACAGAACAACCTGGAACCCACAGTTCTAAAGACACTGGAGACCATCTCCAGTGTGGATTACAGAAAGAGCCCCGCTCTAAACTTACTACTGTGAACTTTAGCACATCCCTGCACTCTGTACGGCTCTTTTATTTACATAATAGTCATATTGTACATATTAATTATTTGATAAAAATAACAATATTTATAATTATTATCTTATTCTTCTTGACTTACAGTACTTGTTTTATCTTTCTTTACATTTTCCAATTACTATTTTTATTATAATGCTCCAAAATACCAAAGCGAATTCCTTGTATGTGTATGTTATCACAACCCTGCCAGAGCCTAATACTCACTGAAAACGTGTTTGACTTCCTGCTGAGAATAAGGATGCGCCTCTGGTCGGTTGTACGACTGGTTCGTGGTAACCCCACACTCCAGCAGCACCTGCAAGACACCCCAGGGGACATAGTTGTAAGCCTTCTCCAAGTCCACAAAACAAAAGTAGACTGGATGGGCAAACTCCCATGAGCATATCCCATGCTTCACTGTTCCACAGCCAGGATGGAACTAAAGCATTCTTCCATTAGGTCATTTTCATGACATTGTCTGGTGAAAGTTTTTGCTTTGATGCATGCTGTTTCTATGAAAATGTTTGTTAATACTGTTTAAAATGAGTTAAAATAGATGTATTGGAAAGGAAGGAATTTTATAGTTAAGTTGCTCATATAGGATTTTCTATCCCAATATTTGCTAATAGGATGGCAAACATATGTGTATTTGCATAAAATACACTTAAGGTTTTTTTGTAAATATTTTGACAGTTGTTGCGCAAGTGTTTAGATAAATCTATGCTACTATTATTTACTATAAAAATTTGTGGTGACCTTGGATATTTTCAGATAAGGTGACTTTCAATAAATGTTTAGATGTAAAGATTTAAAAATTTTTCCATCATTTACAGTAGTGAAGGGAGGAGTTGCACAAAAGTATGGTTAATGCATTTAGATTCAATTTATGTAAATGACATGGTAACATTGTATGCAAATTTATTATTTTAACCAAACAGGTCAGCAAGGCATCACAGGACATTTTCATGGAAATCAGTCTATGTGTTAAGGCTTGTATTATGTGGACACAGGGCCCAGGAGACGGAATATAAGGTTAACAGACTTTATTACAAAAATGTGCAGCGATGGTGAAGGCAGGTACGGCTTGGTTTGAGCAGGGGACAGGCAGGTAGAAGCTGGTGAGGTCCAGGTTCCAGAGAAGTTTGGCTGAAGATCCAGGAAGTGAAGAACTCAGGCGTACACTTGGGAATCTTGAAGCAAAAGATAAACAATGGTTACACAAGAGACTAGAAATTGTGGATACTACGTAGATACTCTAGAAACTAGAGATGGCCTGCAGTACTCAACCACGAGATGGTAAGGAATAATTTGTCAACGAGTCACAGGAAGCCCATGACTTCAGCCATCACTTGATTGGTAGATTAGGGCCCGTTGTGAAACTCTGCCAGGTGTCCAGATTGCCGTCACACCCAAAAGACACCCACTCAAAGTAAGGGAACATGGGAGAAACAAGAGAAAACCCTCAGAGCCACAGCACTGCCTGTGACACCATGAAAGATACCTTGTTATGGTGTGGTGAAAAAGAATTTCTAACCTCCAGATCAGGTCAGGAGGTCAGCAAACTCAATATCCATCCCTCTGGGCACAACAAGTATCTTCTCTAAATTCAATTTGGCTAGAAGTTGTCAGAATATCTTGCTGTGAAGCAAAGTGTTGGACTGAGACATAGAGACACAGAAGGGAAAGCTATGAATACTGATGAAAGCTTCAAGGGAGCTGAAATGTGCTTTTGGAATCAATTGAGCCAGCTTCTGCCGATAGACAGCAAGTGTCTAAATACTTTATACTAATATATATTTCAAATGACTGGCATATTGCATTTTTAATTAGAGCAAAGTACTTCAGAGTAACCAAAAAAAACTCACCAAAAGGCCTAAGTGAGTGAACTTTCTGTGAAGAGAATGAAAAGGAGAAAGCGGTGAGAGACAGAAAGAGGGACGGAGGGAAATAAAGAAACACTTACCCTGTACTCACCTCAGCGGCGAGTAAGCCAGAGTGTGGTCTGCGCTGTATTGTGAAAAGCGTGGGCCAATTGACTGTGACACCTCATTTTTTACCCTGAACAGAGGAACACACTGGAACAGAGGTACAATGACATTGCTGTCACCCACGCTGCTGTGCAGGTGATCGGCGGCTTTCTTCAACACACATGGCAAAATGAGACTCACCCAGCTATTACCTGAGCACCACTGAGGAGTGATTCAAAGTTGGGTTTACTCACAAAATAGAGACTTTGTAGTTTTGTCAAGTTTTCTACCCAAAGCAGAAACTGTCTGGATCTACTAGTCTGGAAAAACAGTTTCTGTGTCTAAAATATTTGCAGTCATTTTAATTTGTGATCAATACAAAAAAATTGATATTTGATGGGTTGTGGTTGAGGGTAGCACTATTACACCTCAGCATAGGTTTTTGAAAATACCCTTAATTAATCACTGATTTAATGCACCAAGTGAAAAGCACACTAAGTGACCCATATTGAAAACACCTCTGGGTCTAGCTAAACGCTCATGGGGGACCTTCCAGAGGGGACTTCAGTCAGTTCCTGTGACAGTTGTGACTGCTGGCTGCTATTCTCAGCTCAAAATTATAAGAAAAAATACATGAGGACCACAGTGGAGAGGCAGGGTGAACTGACAGATTATGCACTCACATTGATAGGGCAGAGAAGTCACAACTAGGCACATTGTGGAAGACTACATGGAGTGATTGTTAAAGAAATTAGATGCTATTTGATGATGTAGGTAATTTGATTTAACTAGGCTTAATTTCATAGATTTAGCCACACTGGAATTATCCTTTAGGAGCCAGTGTGAGTAGGGATACATGTGTGAAGACCTATTGAGCACCATAAATGTTTGTCTTAAAACCTTTTCTGACTCTGACCTTTCATCCTCCTCCAGACTACTTCCATAGAGGGAGGGAGGGAGGGAGGGAGAGAGGGCTTGTCAAAGTGTTCACTTTTTCTCTCTCTCTTTGAGAGAAGGAGAGAGGGCCAAAAAGAGAGAGCTGCTCTTATTAGCCATGGCAGGCCTGGGTGGGTCTGTGTGATAGAGATAGATGGTCCTCATGTGACCAACACACATTCATGTGCACACACCAAGACTATACTACACTTTTACTGCTATCACACTCTTTATCAGACACGCACACACACCATGCTGAGAAAACACTTCCTCCTCTGGGAAACAGTGGAAGCAGGTTATGTGTTGATGATGGTGAAAAATTTACATTTTATCACCAAAACACGTGGACGGAATTATCAGCAGTGTGTATTTTGGGTGTGCCTGAAGCTTGTCCAACCCTGGTCAAATCCACTAATTCACAGCATGGCTGTAGAAATGTGGCCCTGACATGTAGAGGATATGCCAACAAAACTAAAACTAATTTAAATTCACCTGATGGGGCATTGCAAATAAGCACAGACACTATCCTGTTAAAATACCTATTACACTGGCTTGGATGTCCAACAGCAATACTTGCCTCCTTTTGGACATTTTTGCAATTGTGCATTTTGGCTGGATGAACTGCACAGAGAGGCAAATTATGAGCAGCCTGATTAGTGAGTGTGTCTGTGAGATTGGCTGCTGCAGGGATTATAGCATGTGAGGCTGGAAATGAGAGGCTGATTCATGGTCTGGGCTGAATTTCAGAAAAAGAAGAAGTTAAGAGAAGTTAAAAGCCATTTTTTCATCCATCTTCTCTATGTTTAAAGTGTCCAGATGTTGAGACAAACTGTTGTGTCATGCAGCCTTGGCCGATCCCTGAGCTTCTTAATCTGACAAATTTGGGAAATCTGCCATAAAATTTGGTAGAATCACTGTAAAAAACATCTTTCTTGTCCAGGTGCACAGACTATAATGTCTGCCTTCTTTCATTCCACATTAAAGTCTAAGTCTAAATAAACTGCTGTGTGTAATGAAGGAACATGTCAACCCCGTGTCAGTCAGACCTGCAAACTCTAGAGTAGTGAAAAAGGTGACATGAAAATAAATAAAGTCAGGGAGTTCTGGGGTATTCTCTGCTGGAAGAACATCTGAATGATTTTAATATGCAAATGAAGCCATTTGGAGCCTTTTAAGATTCCAATAGGAGAAAACAATATCTTGTTTTAATAATTTTACTGCATTTCGATTATTTCAAGCACAATGTCTAACAACAGGCAAGATGGGCTACAGGACACGCTGACACACTGATGGACACACACACACACAGAGGAGTGATAACATTATGTATTATGTGTTGCATTGTTAATCGGAATCTACAAAGTAACTAAAGCTGTAAGATAAATATAGTGGAGTAAAGAGTACAATATGTAAATGTGCTTACTTTCCAGCTGATGTTATTTACGTTGTGTTGTTCTGGCACTTTATTTGCTCAGGCTGCAGGTAATCAAACGTGACTCACGGCAAACGCTCGCGTGCCACGGACAATCATTCCCGCGCAATTATCTTCAGCCTGTATTATTCATTCAGATTTACCGATATGGTCGGTTGGTTTTTCGATGAGTAATAGAATAGAATTATATAGATAGTAGCCTATATCCCATCTTTGCTGAGCAACAGTTTTGGGCAAAAGGAATTAAAGGCCTGTCCCAAATATAGGCAGGGTGAGTTCAGTGATAATAGCAAATAAAAGCCCGGGCTATTGAAAGTTTGATGGTACTAAACTACTGATTGGACAATCCAATAAGCTTGATGCTAGCCTGGATCAATGGACAATCAAGGTTTTGTTGGCTTGAAAAAAAAATTATGGACAGGCACTAGACTTATGCTTAAGTTTTATTATTCGGATAATTATAAAAAAAAACTACTTCTGGATCTTTCCCAAACAAACACAAAAACCAATGGCAATTTCTGTAAGAAAAAAACAACCCCAGATTCTGTCCAGATGATCTGTACTATTAAATACAGATCATCAATGTTCATAAACGACAATACATAATAAGCCATGACAACAACATGCAATTGATGGTAGGGGTGTATAGAACTGAATGAGGTAGGAGATTAAGTTAATAAAGTAAAACAATGTCTTTCATATGTTCTTATGTATGCATGTTCAAAATGTAAGTGTCCACAAACTTGATAAAGACTTTGGATATTTCATTTTAACCGCTCTTCTCTTTTTTGTTCACTTTGATTCTGTTTTGATTCTTTTCGCCTCTCCATCCAAAGCTTTAAAAGGCTAAACTGTTTTTTTTCCTCATGTTTTTCCCGTCCTTTCTGCTACATCCCCGTTCCACACTACATACTAATTATATATAAAGTATATATTAGGAATTCAACTATTCTGTTTTGGCAGTACAAGAAAGTGTGGATTACAAGTAGGTTGTTCCACAGAGAGAAACGTTGGCATCAAAAACAGCAGTGAATTATTTCCCTCAAAGATTATAGAGCGCTGTCCAGCAGTAAACTTCTGAGCAGCCTGTGACTCCTCCAACATTTTGGCAGATAAGTAAAACAGCGATGCAATAAATTACATTGTACACTTGATTTCTTAATTGTTTTGCTTCCTTTTAATTAATTTAGGCTATTACAATAAAAAAATCGAACCATTTTGTTTCTGCCTACCTATTAAAACTCACAGGTAGTGGCTGATCTGATGCCACCAAAAAGGAGTAATGTCACCATCTTAACAGGTGGGAGGTTGGCGTCAGTACGTTGACACTGAAGAAGGTAATACAGAATTTAAGATGAAAACAATATTTCAAATAAGGCAATGAGCCAGAGAAGAGAAGATTTTCTGCAGAGTCACACAATCAGTTCACAGTCAGTCACACAATGTCACATAGTGGGGTTGGAGCAACCTGCCAGCATTTGTCTCAGGCGTGTCTTGAGGAAAATAAAGTCATTGTCAGCAGGAATGTAAAAGCTGAAGACAGAACCATTTCTTCAGAGTGACAACACTTCAGTAAATAAAACCTAATGAAAAAATGACAGTAATACAAACTGGCGTGCTGGCGGAATGAGTGTGCAGTATAGGACCGAAGAATAACAGTATCGATGAAAGAGTTAACATGTCGTAATAATAACAATAAAAAGAATAACATTCAAGCATTCAGTGCATTCATACCAGGAAATGATGATGCAAACTTGATTCTGAGGTATTTTGTTGAGGAGTCCAACATCACCAAGGCAGGAACACTATCAGGACTAAACTACACATCACCTCTGCAGGGACTAAAAAAAGTCCTCTCGTATTTCATCTAATTCTTCATCATGCGAGCGTAGTATGTGGTTTTCGGCAGCCCTCATCACCTTACTGGTACACAGTGTGCCTGAATTTGCCTCTTTGGACATGAGATGGAGGTAAAGGTGAACTGTGCTGCTGGACTGGATAGCTGTCTTTGTCTATGACTAACTTACCTTTCAGGCCGTGTTACTAACTAATCTGGCACCTGGCTATGTTACTGCCTACCTGTCTGCTTGTTAACGTTTCTTTCTCTCGCCTTTGCTGCATCACTTTCTTTTCTGCGTGGTGGAGTGTATTGTTTTATCCACTTTAGGGCTGCCTATAAGGCGCCTTGTATAAGATGACGTAGCCCTGACATGGTGTTTGAGAGCTGCAGCCCTGGTTAAAAGGTTGCACATAATTTTATTTAAGCCCTATTACCTAAAGCTCATGACTACTGAATATCACAATCTAACAATAATATTGCACTGCCTCAGAAAGCATGGTATCACAAGTGTAGTGAACCAACCAGTGGACATTTAATTATTTCATGCCAAAAGTAAACAACCAAGCAAAACCACCATCTCCTGTGGAGTTAAGACAACTGACTCTACTCCTGACTGTCAAAATGACAATTTAACCTTCTCCAGAGACATAACCTCACCCTGAACCAGGCTGTGAGGACCTCAGCAGTCATAAACTAAAGGCATAAACTGAGACCCTCCCTCACACACACACACACACACCAAACACTGCCTCTCCCTTTTCGCGCTGATGTAAATACTGATAAGAATGCCAGATGCCAGAAATATGTTTCTCATTATAATGTTTCTCATTATAATGAGAAACATTATAATGTTTCTCTTATAATGTTTCTCAAACTAAGCAGCTAGTTGTAGCTTTGTTTAGTTACATAATCTTTAAAAGTTAGTTAGTGGCCACTTCAGTTTTGAGTATTTATTACCATGTCGTTATTGTTTAGCAACTATGTGGAAAAGAAGGAACCATAAGGAAAATAATTTGCTGTGCTGTTAATTTCATTAACTTTTGCTCATTAACATTCCTGCCTGTGATTTATACCAATGCCATGCTTAAACACCTTCTTAGATATTTTGTTATTAGAACATGTAACAATCAATATTATCACTATGAAATGTTGTTATAACTTATAACGGTGTAACTGTTTATGGTATTTAAGAAAATAGTTGATTTTGTGGAGGAGGAACAAAGCCCTCCTACCTGGGGACACGCACCAAGGGACATTTGCTCTTCTCTCTGCTCTTCTCGCTTGCTCCTGCGACCTCTCCTAGCAACGTCCAGCATCCAAGAGCTTCGGCCCGGGGAAAATCTCTGCAACTTCAAGTTTTCTTCTTATAGAAATTTGGCAATATTCACGAGGTCCCGCGAACCTTCGGTGAATTTACCTTTTGTTTGGTTTGTATAAAGTTATCAGACCGTTTAACACACGCAACTTTTAATTCAGAAACAACCAAGTTTCTTTTAAGCCTTTATTTCAGTTCGAATTAACTTTCACTAGCCTACTCCCAAGGACAGCGTTTGGAGGCTAGTCAACTGAATCAAGAACAACTCCAGTAGCCTTCTAACTCAGGAGCAATCCAGGGATAATGGCCCGTTTGCTGCAAAGAGTTTCCCGCAAACCAAAACAGACGAGGACTCAGACATCCCCATTGGCAAAGACCAGCTCGAGCTGGCCATGTGGCGTGCCAAGCCACCGAGGGCCGTGAAAGCAACAAATGAGCCAGCGATCGTGAGCCTCCAAAAGCAAAACCTCTTTCGCATTTTGGGAGTTGGGTGTCCTTTAGTTGTTAAGTCCCGAAACCAAAGCTCAAGTTATCACCATAAAACTTGTGTCCATACGTGACAATCATGACAAAATAGTAGGACAAAACAAAAAAGATTTTCAGCAGCCACGGTTGCTCCTGGTGTCCAAAGACATCAGCATCTTGTGACCTTGTAGTGTCCACGAGTTACAAATTATGCCATTACCATTTGTGGAAGTAAATGTGTGTGAGAGAGAGAGAGAGGTGTGTACGTGTGTGTCTGAACACATATTCAAAATGTGTTAGTATGCTCGAGAGCCAGCGGTTCGGCCTGTTGTTAATGTTCCAGTGTGATGTCCAGATGAGTCTCAGTGCAGAAATGCCAGCAGAGCAGTGAGCCACTGTACCAACATGGAGCCTTTCGTCCACAGA